TAAATAAAGTCTGCCTCCAATAGGACCTGCCTAGTGGACGTAACGGAATACGTTACAGAATACATTTTGGGGCATGTAATCTGTAATCTGTAATGGAATACATTTTAAAAGTAACCTTCCCAACACTGATTGCACGTGTCCGACATGACAGACTGAAGCTCTCGTGACAATTAGAACTTAGATCGGAATAATAATTTGATTGTATTGTACTAATATTGTTTCCTATTATATTAACATAGCAAAAGGTTCAGTTACCTTTTTACAAAAGTGGTGAATAGAATTCGCTACTTTTTACTTTCTAACTGTGAGTATATTTCTGAGGCTGCACTGTTTTACTTTTACTGGAGTGTAGAAGTTACTCAGTGCTTAAACTTTTTACTTACTGATCTGTTTTTGAGAGCGAAATGGTGCAAATGAGCCTTTATACATGTAGTGATTATGTTCACTTTGAAGAATCATTCAAGCTGAAGCTGGATCAGCTGTTTGATGGCAAATCAACAAGTGCTTTCATGAGTGTCTCGCAGAGAGGCGTAGTGTAGGAATGATTAAACTCATGCAGTCTTAAAGATTTTAGCAAAGCTTTATGATAATGTGAAAGGTTTGAGGATGAAGCTGAGGCGCTGTGTTTCCTACCAGACAGGACTTTGGGAGTTCCAACTTTCACCACAGCTTCCTTTAGGAACTCGAGTGCTTCATCATATAGCTGGAAAGAAAGGGAAAGGTTACCGATGAAATCTAACCAAGAAATGGAAATGTTCAGTAGGATCTGCATCAGTTTAACTGGGAATTAAATAATCTGAAGAAAGACTGAATTATTCACACTTAACAGTTCAGTAATAATGTACAAATCTGTGCAGGTTGTCATACATCTAAAATAACACTTTAACGTGTGTAATGCTTTCAGGGTGAATTCATGAAAATTACTTTTTCAGCAGTGATTGAATTTTTTAAAACATAAAGTTTGACGTGTTGTTTGACAGCAGCTCTATAAAGGATGTCAAAGGTACAAAATTAGCACAACCGCACCACAATATCCAAAATAAAGGAAATGGAGCAGGTTACCTGCTGATCCTGTAACGGCAGCTCAGCTCTGAATACTGAGATCCTAAATGAAAGAGGATCACAATCACACACAGACGAACAGGACAAACTGACCAAAGTTACATCTGCAAATAAGTTTTATATCAGATATCAGAGTCTAACACTTACATCCTTACAGTCAGGTGAGAACAGT